CTCCTGGCCTTACTACTAGGAACAAGAAGCTACTAGGGGCTCCTGGCATCGCGACTTACAACAAGGTTGCTCACCTTGTTTGTACCACGAGAGTGCTAAGGAGCGGGCCAGTGGTTCATCTTTATGTCACAGGATATAACATCATGAACCACCATACAAAATTTGTCCATGTGTTGTATGGAGGATCTGTTGAAACAGCACATGTAAGGAAACACAAAAAGCATCAAACAGCAGCCACAGGTTTTGGCCCGACTTGATTGATCAACCCTCAACTACCAATCTTGAACCATGTGGCATGTGGGAACTAATCACTGGAAAAGCTATGTTTGAGTCGGGACAAACATCCACTTTGACTTGTCATGCAGATTTTCATGCAAATAATTGTAAATAGAATGAATACGTCTACTTACTTATTCAAACAAACCCTATGCGGCAGCCAAAAAGGTCCGTTGCCCGGGTGCTCAGTCGCCAAAGGTGCTTCTGTAGAGTCGTCGAGGTGCTCAGCTGCTGGGGTTGGCATACACTGGCATGCAAACTATGCAGACGCATCCACACACACATACAATTCGTTTCAGGCTACTCACCCCTGAAACAAGAACCACCACATCGCAAATATCCCACTGCCGCCGTCCACGTCGGGCAAAATGTCCACACGCCTTCAAATTCTGACAGAAGGTATAGCAGGGAGTTATCCATTGGCCTAGATCCTCCTTAGGTTCTCCCAGCTCCTCGTGAAAGATAATCAACTGAAGTGCCTTGCAAATCGACTCGGTGCCGGAGACACGCTAAACATCGACTGTCAGTCGGAGACAGTCGATTGTTCAGAGTTCTGCTGCTGTTTGGGCATGTGGTTGGTTGCATCGACAAGGAACGAGAACACCTATCATGGATTGCTGTGGTTTCGAAGCGTGTTTGTGGATACATCTTGTATGTTGCTGTTCTAGTTCAGCAGAAATCAACCCTTTGAAGTTGGCGGAGCGGGCACAAATGCCCGAGGAGGTTGCCATGTACCCTCAAGGCTGCCATCCCAACGGTGGACCAAAACACATAGGGGAAAGCTGCTTCGTGTCATTCCAAGAATCTTTGGATAAGTAGACACCTGCCTTGTGATAGGCAGCCATGATGTAGTTGTTCACCTCAAACTGACATCAAACTTTAAAGCATGCATAAGCATGCCATGTTTACTGTTCCACATGCGAAGCTCGTTAGACATGGCGGTTTTGGTTTTGCTGTCATTTGGCCATTAGCTTGGAACCAATGAAAAGCCTTAGAGATGGCCAAATCATGGAATGAACGAACAGCCGGGTGATTTGTTTCCACTTGTCCCAGGATTTGCTCCGTCAACCAAGCAAGTCTGCAAACAACATCAAACAACATTCCGAGTCATAACACCAACGCAACCCACTACACAACAAGCACAGAGTTGTGAGTCAGCAAGCAAACATAAGCAAGCCAACAAACCTGCGTTTGTTGGAACCCAGCCTTCCAGGAAGCTTCATTGCGATCCAAGTGAGTCTTTTGCTGCAGCATGGACATGCAAGTCTCAACGTCGCTGTCGTTGCCCGTGGTGGAAATCGTGGCCATGCACTGAAGTTGAATTAGCAGCCACCAAAGGTTTCGCATGGCACATATGTAGGGTACGGCAACAATTATGCTGAGCAGTTGACAAGCGAAGAGCTTTTCTGTTTCAGGGAGATTTACCCATCGGCCGTAACTTTTTGCCGTAATATTACTTCGACTTACTTTGCCAGGGTGGGTCATAGGTTCTCTGTTCGTTGTCTCCTTGCCCTGATAATAACCACCGATGACCAAGAAGGATGGGCCAATCGAGAGTTTTCGCGAGCCCTGGCCTTGATCCAAATGCAGAGTGTGTTGAGTTAGTCCAAAGTGGAGTCTTTCTGGGTTTCAGGTGGCATGTTCAGTAGGGATGGATAAAAGAGCTATACCCTGTGAACATCACATAAATGAAGAATTTATGGTCTACCTGCACCCAGGACGTATATTCTATCATATGTTTGGGTGCTGTCTTTTGACATCTGTGGCACAGCGCTTAGGGATTGTCAAGCTTTCCCGTACGTATGACGCTTCATCCCCTACTCCCTACTCCAAATATTCCCCACATTGGGACATGAAGGCCCAATCAAACTCTGTGGCAGTTGGGCCACTCCAAAGGGGTATCAACATGTTTAACCCTGATTTGGCACATACAAAACAATGACCTCCAAGTTAGGCATCAATCGACCCCTCCTTGCGGAAACACTTTGGATTTCTGGATAAAATATGAACAGGTATAGCAACGTGTAAGCGGGAGGAGTCGTGTTTCTCCAGTAACGACTCCTCCGCATGAAGAAAGCCTTGACCCGGGCACCATATTGGAATCATTTAGACGACGACAGTGGCATGGAAAAGATTCGAGGAACGCATTTTTGATTGCGCTTACTGTATCTATATTAGCCCACACAAGTAGCTTGGCATCCAAACCGGGTTTACTGGACGACTAAGTTTGAGTTTTCTTGGTTTCGTGGGTCCTTTTTGTCCCACCAAGTCTTGGTCCAGGTCTACGAATCACTGTCATCCTCGCCTGGCTGCATCGCTACCTGGGTGGACCGGATCCGCGGTGGCGGTGCAATTCGGTGGCGATGGAAGGTGGTACCCAAGCACTCCATTGATATAGCCTCCCCACAAAGAGACATAACACTCCCATGGGAGTCCTCAAAAAAAGACTGCAACATGGCAAGATATGCAAGGATTGTTCGATGCCTCTCCATAGGAGCTAAAGTTTGTATTGATACAACATTCCAGTTAACCTCGTTAGCTAGCTAGCCGCCCCCATGTTCGAGACCAAAGAGACCAAAGGTGAGTCCGTTTCACAGTGTGAGAGTGTACAAGTACAAGATAGTACAAGGTACAAGGTACAAGGTCTTGATCCCAACAACAGTGACCATGTCGTGCTGATGAAACGGTCATCCAGGTGCACTCAAATTCAGATCAAACGGTTCAAGCAGGAACTCTCTAGTGTCTTCAGTCACCTTGACGAACCAGTGTCTTCCGTCGTTGAAAGCGTGCGATCATAGGTGATAGTAGGTCGAGTGCTACCACACGCCCAGCTAGAACAGGTTTTGAAAGGAACCAGGGCATCATACTGCCATCGGTGTATTCGGTCCCTTGTTCAACAAAGCTCTTGAACAGGATACCAACGCATGGATTTGAACAAAATAGATTCGGGCCCACCCTGTCCAGACAGGTTTGCCCCGGCCCTAGTGATCTATGTTCTGTTTCACTGGCGCCACACATACAGACAGTCGAAATCACTGCATTTGGAGTCCTCCAGTCATCTATTATCATCCCTGGCTTGGCCAGGACTCCGGACGACTTCGACTTGCGTCCGGTGCATGACCTGGCACTGGACACGTCAAGAGTCAAGAGGCCCACGATGGGTGGATGTCCAACTTGATTCTCCCAGCGTTTAGGATGTGTTAACTGATGTCTTACTGTTCCTCCTCACAGCTACCTAGATTCTATTGGGGAGGGCAACCAAATTGCTGACAACTGTAAACCCTTCTTCACTTGCGATGTGACTACGAGTGTCCTCCAATTCTCCGCTTCTCGAACCCAGAAACAGCCACGAACAGTTAGCCACTGTGTGAGTCGACTATGGTGGCTAAAGTAACCAATAAAACGAATGCATTCGCAAATGGATACACATCATATCGCAAAAAAACTGCTTTCTTTTGGGCGCAATTCCTTCCTTACTTTACACATCCTCTTGCTGCCATTCACTGATGCCCCATCTGTGGCTTGCACCTTTCTTGTAGACTCCGAGCCCCAAAGACCCAAAGACTGATGCTGTTTTCTTCGCAACTGGTAAACACTCCAAGCCGACACTTGCAGTCCCAAGCCGATAAGTCGACATGAAGTATCAAAAAGATCAATTGCAAACATACGGAGTGTAACCATACTCGTGCTTGATGTCTTACAACTACTGTATACTAATGTAATGTCTGTCTACCTTTGTTTGTTCGCGTGAATTTTCAGGGCTGTCTGCAAAAACGATCTCCGTACTTCCGCCAGGTGCATGGTCAGCTGCCGGGGCTCCCAGCTAGCAGCGGCTCCCGTCCTGACCACGTTTGCCCGACCCGAAGAGGGGAACCCAAATGACCAAGGCAATCTCGATTGAGGAGGAGCTGATAGATGTGGCTGTTCCTTCATTTATGATTCCAAAGAAAAGCACATCAAAAGCGCCAACGGCTAAAAGCTGGATTCAACAAAACCGGAGCACCAACAACCGAAGGTTGGAGTTCTGCGATCGTCCAAGGTCGGAGTTCTGCCGTGACGGATCGGAAGAAAAGGCGTCGTGCACGTCGTGCACGTTGGGCGACGATGTCATTTGTCCGCCTTGTCTGCCTTGCCAAAGAAAATAATAGCTTCTTGTTACTACTAGTAAGGCACTTGTTACTACTAGCGTGGCACTTGTTCCTAGTAGCTTCTTGTTACTTTGCCAAAGAAAAACACTAAATGATGAAATCATGCGCAGGTACTACTCATGGACTCTCCATAGAGTTGGAATCTGGAGCAAAACTCCAAGTTGAGGGCCTTTGATGGTTTGGATATCCAAGATGCTTGGATGTTTCGCGCTCCGTTGAATGTTCTTTTGATCCTTTGGTGTGAGTTGGGAGGGACCGCTATGAACCACCACTTCGGATTGGAGTCAACAGTTCTGAGGGGAGAATAGCTGATATATAATTGTGAAGCAGGTTCGTTTGAGCGCTCCCAAGGACGAAGTAAGAAACACGTCAGTGACCCAATGTGGGTGTCGTCTGAGGAAATGGCAAGCAGCATCTTCAGCAACGAAACCCACCAAGATCGCTTTGAAACGGAAGATGTTGTCTTTCTGGGCCAGCAAACCATTCAGCTTGTCTTCTGCGAGCGGCGAGCGGGATTGCTGGGCACACAATTTAAAAACAATGGTCAAACTGGTCACCTGTCAAGCCCACTTGGCCTGTCCCCAGCCATGGAACCGACTTGTACCGATGAGATTTTGTGGGAACTCTTCTGCTTTTCACGTGCCAAAGAAATTCGCGAACCAGTCGATAGGATCACCGGCCGCCCACGCCACCGCTGGTGTCGGGCTCCTGCTGTCGCCTTCCCGGTCCTGGACACGGTCGACATAGATCACATCCAACAAAGGAAGGGTCACAAAAGTCATATCCCAAAAACAGTTCCATCGATTGCTACGACCGACTGGACTATATACGTGGACATGTTCAGATCTTTCACGACGAGCGGTAGATGGTCAACCTCTAGGAGCGAACAAGTCCCTTACTCAATCAAGTAGGCGCCTGCTTGATCAAGCAGGAGCGGGCGGGCCCAAAAAAACCAGGACGCTACTAGGAGCAAAGGGCATCGCTACTAGGAGCGATCGGACGCTACGAACGGCTCCTGGCCTACTAGTAACAATAAAGCATAATAAAGCTACAATTGGACCTTTCCATCTGCAACCGCCCCCATCCCGTCCGTCGCACGGAAGCGGCCATCCTCGCGAGGCTCGTGCCTGAGACGTTTGATCCACAAGGAGTGACATGGTCCACACGTGTGGACCATCCATGCATGGATTGGTACTTTACATAGGGTCATAAAGGGGGTAAATGTATGTATCTAGTCCAGTCCCATGGATAAAATGATGGTAAGTATACATAACTATAGTCCAGCCCATAGTCTGAGACATGATCCAAATGTCTGGGGCACCGTCGACGGATCGGGAGTGAGTGAGACGTTTCCGGTGGGTGACAGGTGCTCCTTTGATCAAGAAACGATGTGGTGGCTTTCTTGGGCTGTAGATGCCGCTGCCATCCATTACGTGCCATTACTCAAGGGGATGCCCCAGTCTGCGGAATTCTCACATATGCCTCGTTTCAAAGGGTGTACCCCATCTTTACGCCCTTTGATCACCAGGGTTACAAACAATCTGTGTGTGGTAAATGTCGTGCCAATGCATGCAATGTTGGTGGGAGGAGTGCGCCAATCCGCATGCTTTGGTAGGGTCAACTGCTGACCAAGATTCATGAGTTGCACAGCGGTGTGAGATCTCTACAGTCCCTCTAAAAGAGATTATGTGGCTGCTGTTTCGGGCACAGTACATTGTCCCTCAAGAGCCTTGGCCTTCCAATGGGTTCGTGTGTAAACACCTTCTGGAAAGCAATGGTGGTTCGGGATTCATTACCCAAAAATCATTGGTCGCTACAGTACTACGGAACTCCAAATTTATATAAAACAAAGAATGCTGTAAGTACTTGAGCAAAAGGCATCGGAACGTCTTGTCAAGCTATTTGGGGGGGCAACATATACTTTGGATCCGACACACGTTGAGATGCTTGAGTGGACAACTTGCTGTTTGGTCGGAAAACAAACAACCATCTTTTTAGGGGCCAGTCCCTCGACGGAACATCTTGGTCAGAGTGTACCTGTGTGGAGTGCCGTCTGGTGGTCAAAAACATATGAACACGTCATGTAGACTCTTGAGGTTTTGCAACCCCATATATGTTCTTTTTTTTGTGTCATAAATGTTGAATCAAAAGCTCTGGAGAAAGGATGGCAGATGAACACCCCAGTCCGGTGAACTCATGTGAACACCCCCGGGCCTTTTGACCCGTATGGTTTCATTCTC